GTTCTGTTGCCCAGGCAGGAGTGCAGTGGTGCGATCTTGGCTCACTGCAATCTCCACCTCTCGGGTTCAAGCGATTCTCCAGCCTCAGCCTCCTGACTAGCTGGGATTACAGGAGCCCTCCACTGTGCCTGGCTAATTTTTGTATTTTTAGTACAGACTGGGTTTCACCATGTTGGCAAGGTTGGTCTTGAACTCCTGACCTCAGGTGAAGTGCCCGCCTCGGCCTCCCAAAGTGCTGGGACTACAGGCATGTGCCAGCATGCCCAGCCTTTTTGTTGGTGGGGATGGAGTCTCCCTCTGTCGCTCAGGCAGGAGTGCAGTGGTGAGATCTAGGTTCACTAAAACCTCTGCCTCCCGAGTTGAAGTGATTCTCCTGCCTGGGCCTCCCGAGAAGTTTGGACTACAGGTGTGCTCCACCAAGCCCAGCCAAATTTTTTTTTTGTATTTTTTGGTAGAGATGGGGTTTTACCATGTTGGCCAGGCTGTTCTCAAACTCCTGACCTCAGGTGATCCACCCACCTTGGCCTCCCAAAGTGCTGGGACTACAAGGCATGTGCCACCATACCTGGTCTTTTTTTGAGTGTGGTGGGGGGTGGGGGTGCAGATGAAGTCTAACTCTGTCGCTCAGGCAGGAGTGCAGTGGTGAGATCTCTGCTCACTGGAACCTCTGCCTCTTGAGTTCAAGTGATTCTCCTGCCTGAGCCTCCCGAGGAGTTTGGACTACAGGTGCGCTCCACCAAGCCCGGCCAATTTTTTTTTAAATTTATTTTTATTTTTTGGTAGAGATAGAGTTTCACCATGCTGGCCAGTCTGGTCTCGAACTCCTGACCTCAGGTGATCCAACTGCCTCAGCCTCCCAAAGTGCTGGGATTACAGGCATGAGCCACTGCCCCTGGCCTCTGTTCTTTTAAAAATCTATATAAAGCTGGACACGGTGGCTTATGCCACCGTGTAATTCCAGCACTTTTCGAGGCTACAGTGGACAGATTGTTTGAGCCTAGGCATCTGGCAAACAGATGCCATGTTAGGAAGGGCTGGCAAGATGAATGAAAATCAGGCAAAAGCTCAAGGATGTTGTCTAAACATTTTGTTCTTATGGGACCAGAATAGTTGATGTAGTTTTGAAATTTGTCCCCACCCAAATCTCATGGAAATATAATCCCGTGTTGCAGGTGAGGCCTGGTGGGGTGTTTGGGTTATGGGGCAGATCCCTCATGGCTTGGTGCTGTCCTCTCCATAGTGAGTGCTTACAGAGCTGGTTGTTGTAAAGTGTGGCATCTCCTCCCTGCACTCACTCTCTTGCTCACTCTGTGATGTGAGATGCCTGCTCCTGCTTCACCTTCCACCATGAGTAAAAGCTCCCTGAGGCCTCCCAGAAGCTGAGAGATGTCAGATGCCATGCTTGTACAGCCTGCAGAACTGTGAACCAATTAAACCTCTTTTCTTATAAACTACCCAGTCTCAGGCATTTCTTTTTTTTTTGAGACGGAGTCTGGCTCTGTTGCCCAGGCTGGAGTGCAGTGGCACGATCTCAGCTCACTGCAAGCTCCGCCTCCTGGGTTTACGCCATTCTCCTGCCTCAGCCTCCCGAGTAGCTGGGACTACAGGCGCCCGCCACCTTGCCCGGCTAGTTTTTTTTGTATTTTTTAGTAGAGACGGGGTTTCACTGTTAGCCAGGATGGTCTCGATCTTCTGACCTCGTGATCCGCCCGTCTCGGCCTCCCAAAGTGCTGGGATTACAGGCTTGAGCCACCGCGCCCGGCCTCAGGCATTTCTTTATAGCAATGCAAGAATACAGGAGTGAACCATGAACTGATCTTTCTCTGGTGGACAAAACAAAGACAATGCCTGTGAAGGCAGAAACTAATATCATTCATCTGCTTTCAATACTTCCAAGAGGCTAATTCAGTATCAAAAAATTTAATTTCTCAAAACTCACAGCTATTTACTAAAGTTACTCACTACACTTAGCTTCATAGTTGAATGCTGTTACTATGTATTGACATCAAAACAAAACACCTGAAACTAAAAGCTGATATGTAACAACAAGAGACATTGGTGCAGTTTCCTTCCTGGAGAGGAAGCACTCAGATCATGAGACCTGAGATGAAACAAACTAGATTGTCAAGAATCCAACAAGGACTACATTTTACCCCAGGCCGGGAGCGGTGGCTCAAGCCTGTAATCCCAGCACTTTGGGAGGCCGAGACGGGCGGATCACGAGGTCAGCAGATCGAGACCATCCTGGCTAACACGGTGAAACCCCGTCTCTACTAAAAAATACAAAAAACTAGCCGGGCAAGGTGGCGGGTGCCTGTGGTCCCAGCTACTCGGGAGGCTGAGGCAGGAGAATGGCGTAAACCTGGGAGGCGGAGCTTGCGGTGAGCTGAGATCCGGCCACTGCACTCCAGCCTGGGCGGCAGAGCGAGACTCCATCTCAAAAAAAAAAAAAAAAAAAAAAAACTACATTTTACCCCTTAATAGAAAAAATGCTGGAGACAAAACGAGATGTTTAAAAATATTCTTCATGCTAAGCTTATGTAAGCAAATCAAAAAACTAAAGTAACCCTAAAACTTTAGGACGTTGGATACAGAAGTAACATTACTAAATGTTTGCATCAATGAAAGTTTGTTCTATCCTTCCCTGTACTTATACTACAAGGACATACTTGTTGCTTCTACACTACCCAAAGTCAACAGTTACATTAGCAATGCAATAGAAATAGATGGGAATAAGGCTTCAAAGCGACTCTGCTCCACCAAAATTTAGAAATTCAATTCAGGATGAACAACAGCTTTTGATTTTAAAACCAGCTCTTACTTTTCTCTTGTGTCATATGTGATGAAGTCCTCACTTGACATTTCCCCCTGCAAATTGCAATGCATGTCCTCGCCATCAGCATTTTCTGACACTTTAATTTATAGGAATTGCAAAAACAATAAAATTGTCCTTCCAATTCTGAACCTCTGATCGGATTCCTGCTTTGAGACAAAACTTACTCTTCTGTTGCGTACTCCTCTCCTCTTCTTTTCTTTCATTCTTTTTTTTGGGGCGGGGGAGATAGAGCCACCCTAGTGTCATCCAGGCTGGAGTGCAGTTGCATGATCATGGCTCACTGCAACTTCCACCTCCCGAGTTTAATCAATTCTCCTGCCTCAGCCTCCCGAGTAGCTGGGACTACAGGTGCCTGCAACTAAGCCCAGCTAATTTTTGTATTTTTAGTAGAGATGAGGTTTCACCATGTTGACCAGACTGGTCTCAAAGTCCTGACCTCAGGTAATCCACCCATCTTGGCCTCCCAAAATGCTGGGATTACAGGCGTGAGCCACCACGCCCGGCCTCTCCTCTTCTTTTGTATGGCTAATACCACTTTCCTGCTTTCTTTCTACTGCTGAATCTCCAGACTTGTCATCAGGGTGCCAGAGTCGACCTCGGTTTCGAGCTCCTGGATGGTAACGCTGCATCCGTGGATGATCCTGAAGTACAATGAAATATGATACTGTTACAACAATGCTGCTAAGCTTTTACATGGGATTTTTGGGTTTTACTTTATATATTAATATATACTAAAGCCCAATCATTTAAGACCAAAAATGTGAGGGCACGGTAAATGACAACTTGCCCACTTCCTCTCTCCATCTCCAAAGAAAAGTAATCATTTCCTCATTATTATTTTATAAGGCTGGTATCACTTTTTTTTTTTTTTTTTTTGGCGACTTGGTCTCATTGTGTCACCCAGGCTGAAGTGCCAGTGGCAAGATCGGGGCTCGCTGCAGTCTTGACATTCTAGACTCAATTGATCCTCCCACCTCAGCTCCCTAGTAGTTGGGATTGTAGGCACGCTCTATCACACTGGGCTAAGTTTTAAATTTTTTAATAGAAATGGGGTCTCCCTATGTTATCCAGGCTGGTCTCGAACTCCTGAAGTTAAATGATCCGCCTTGGCCTCCCAAAAGTTAGGATTACCTGCATGAGCCCTCATCCCTGGCCTATTTCTTTCTTTTCTTTTCTTTTCTTTCTTTTTTTTTTTTTTTGAGGTAAGTTTCACTCTTGCTGCCCAGGCTAGAGTGCAGTGGTGCCATCTTGGCTCATTGCAACCCCTGCCTCCTGGGTTCAAGCAATTCTCCTGCCTTAGTCTCCCAAGCAGCTAGGACTACAGGTGCATGCCACCATGCTGGGCTAATTTTTATATTTTTAGTAGAGACAGGGTTTCACCATTTAGGCCAGGTTCGTCTCCAACTGTTGACCTCAAGTGATCCACCCGCCTCAGCCTCCCAAAGTGCTGGGATTATAGGCATGAGCCACTGTGCCTAGTCTATAGTTATTAAGGACATGAAATTATGCTTTATGAGGAAGTGGTCCTCACCCCTCTTGCCTGCAACACAAGAAAGGAGAACAAGGCAGCAAATTAGAAGAAGAAAGGTGGCGCTGAGGAAAGGATATTAATTCAAGATGGATTTTAAAAATTGCTTAGCAGGAGGGAGGGCCCTCCTGTGGTTTCACCAGTTGATCTCCTTGAAGGGTTTTCTCCAGGATCACTTGCAGCTTAGGGGCAGGAGGCTCCCACACCACCCTGTACTACTACAACCCTTCTGACATTGTGCATCATGATCTGATTATTGCTATTTGTCTCTTGCCAACACTGAAACATGAGTTCCATATGCCCAAGGATTTATTTGAATCCTTGACCTCCAGGGCCTGGCACATAGTCAGTGATTGGTACATGTTTGCTAAATGAATCAGAGGGTGGAAGAAGTTTAAGAGGGTGGGGTGGGGATGGGTGGTTTACCCAGAGCTGGACAGGCAAGGCAAGTAGAACAAAAGAGGGAGTTGCTGACATGAAAATGGCCTTGAGATGGCTAGCAACAGGCTAGACAAACAGGCAATGTCAACTCACACCTCATGGTTCAGGAGCACTGTTTCTCCTCTAACCTCTACCTTGGCTACCATTTTCACCTGCCTTTGGAGGAAGTCTACAGTATTCACTGCCTCTTTCTCTTGGCTCTTCATCCTTCTAGAGCTTTCCTTTTGGCTTCTAAACTTACTTTCTCATACTTAAAATGATGCTTCATTAAAACCATTAACCTGGCCGGGCGCGGTGGCTCAAGCCTGTAATCCCAGCACTTTGGGAGGCCGAGGTGGGTGGATCACGAGGTCAGGAGATCGAGACTATCCTGGCTAACATGGTGAAACCCCGTCTCTACTAAAAATACAAAAAACTAGCCGGGCGTGGTGACGGGCGCCTGTAGTCTCAGCTACTTGGGAGGCTGAGGCGGGAGAATGGCGTGAACCCGGGAGGCGGAGCTTGCAGTGAGCCGAGATCACGCCACTGCACTCCAGCCTGGGAGCACAGCGAGACTCCGTCTCAAAAAAAAAAAAAACAACAAAAAAAAACCAAAAAACAAAACAAAACAAAACAAAAAAACCATTAACCTATGTATCTCCATTTCTTTCATAGCTGTATTAGTTGTTTTCCCCACTGGTAGAAAGAAATGCCTGAAAATGGGTAATATATAAAGAGAAAAGGTTTAATTAACTCACTGTTTCCCATGGCTGGGGGAGCCTCAGGAAATTTACAATCATGGTAGAAGGGGAAGTGAGCACGTCTTATATGGCAGCAGACTAGAGGTGAAGTGCGAGCATAGGAAAAACTGCCTTGTTTAAAACCATCAGACCTTGTGAGACTTACTCACTATCACGAAATAAGCATGTGGGAAACTGCCCGCCGACCCTGAATCCAATCACCTCCCACCAAGCTCCTCCCTTGACACATGAGAATTACAATTTAAGATGAGATTTGGGTGTGGGCGCAGAGCCCAATCTTATCAACAGCCATATGAGAAGTCTTCAAAAAGTCCACGGAAAATGTGTATTATCAAGAAACTATGCATGGATTGCAAAATCTTTTGGCACCAAAATAAACTGCTACTAACTCGTTAAAAAATATCTCGACAGGATCTACCTTGTGGCATTAAAAAGGAGAAGTCATCAGTTTGAAAAGAGCCCCTATCAGAGCAAAATAGATTCTGCTAAAATTGAAGGAAGAACAAACACAAAATTTAAGATGAAGCTTGGGTGGAAGAACGGTAAAATCACTGATGCTTTATCCAAAGTTTATGAGGACAGTGCCCCTAAAGAGATCAGCAGTTTACAAATGGATAACTTGTAAGAAGGGACAAGATGATGTTGAATATGAAGCCTGCAGCAGCAGGTCATCCACATCAATCTGCAAGGAAAAAAATTAATCCGGTTTGTGCTCTAACTGGAAAGCTTCGGCCAGACGCATGGCACCCCTGTAATCCCAGCACTCTGGGAGGCCAAGGTGGGCAGATCACTTGTGGTCAGGAGTTCGAGACCAGCCTGGCCAACATGGTGAAACTCCATATCTAAGAAAAATATAGAAATTAGTTGGGCGCAGTGGAGGGTGCCTATAATCCCAGCTACTTGGGAAGCTGAGGCAGAAGAATCATTGGACCTGGAGGTAGAGGTTGCAGTGAGTCAAGATCGTGCCACTGGCCTCCAGCTTGGGTGACAGAGTCAGGTTCTGTCTCAAAAAAAAAAAAAAAAAAAAGGCCGGGCGCGGTGGCTCACACCTGTAATCCCAGCACTTTGGGAGGCTGAGATGGGCGGATCACGAGGTCAGGAGATGGAGACCATCCTTGCTAGCATGGTGAAACCCCATCTCTACTAAAAATACAAAAAATTAGCCGGGTGTGGTGGCGGGCGCCTGTAGTCCCAGCTACTCGGGAGGCTGAGGCAGGAGAATGGCATGAACCCAGGAGGCGGAGCTTGCAGTGAGCCGAGATCGCGCCACTGCACTCCAGCCTGGGTGACAGAGCAAGACTCTGTCTCAAAAAAAAAAAAAAAAAAAAACCAACAACAACAAAAGAAAAGGACCAACAATTAACACCATACAAGAAAAGTTGAGCAAACTTTCTACTTGATGGGTGCCGAAACCAGATCAGCTGCAGACAAGAACAGAGATTTCAATGGAAATTTTAAACAAGTGAGATATATTAGGTTGCTGCATATTAATTGCAGTTTGTGGTATGGAATGTCAAAAGCTGCAATTATGTTTGCACCAACCAATAGATCATGAAGCATCTATTTGGAAAGTGTAATAGGAGGTTAAACATGGCTTTCTCAGTATGACTCTGAAGACAAAGCACAATCAAAATAATGGCTCCGAAGAGGTGGAAGTGGTCCAGTCAAAGCAAAACTGGACTGGCCAAGAGCAAAGGTCATGGCAATAGTTTTTGGAGCTGCTTGAGGAACTTTCCTTGTTGACTTTCTGGAGGGCCGAAGAAAAATAATGTCTGCTTATTATGAGAGTGTTTTGAGAAAGCCAAAGCTTTAGCAGCAAAATGCCCAGGAAAGCTTCACCAGAGAGTCCTTTTCTACCATGGCAATGCTTCTGCTCATGCCTCTCATCAAACAAGGGCAATTTTGAGTGTTTCAATGGGAAACCATTAGGCATCCACCTTACAGTCGGGATTTAGCTCCTTCTGACACTTTTTGTTTCCTAATCTTAAAAAGTCTGTAAAGGGCACCCATTTCTCTTCAGCTAATAATGTAAAAAATATTTCATTGATGTGGTTAAATTCCCAGGACCTCCACTTCTTAGGGGATGGATGAAATGGTTAGAATGTAATTATTGTGAGCAAGAGACAAAAATAAATAAATAAATAGATAGAAAGTATCATTGCTTACGATACTTACGAAAGTGTCTTGACCTTGGTGGATGTTACATGTTACAGTGAGAAGTTTATATTTGTTTCTTTTATTTCTATTTTCCAGGAACTTTTCTTTTTTCTTTTTTTTTTTTTGAGATGGAGTCTGGCTCTGTCGCCCAGGCAGGACTGCAGTGGCATAATCTTGGCTCACTCAACCTCCGCCTGCCGGGTTCAAGTAATTCTTCTGCCTCAGCCTCCTGAGTAGCTCAGATTACAGCCCTTGCCACTGTGCCCGACTAATTTTTGCATTTTTAGTAGAGACGGGGTTTTGCCATGTTGGAGAGGCTGGTCTCAAACCCCTGACCTCAAGTGAAGTGCCCACCTTGGCCTCCCAAAGTGCTGTGACTACAGTTGTGTGCCATCACGATCGGCCTTTTTTTTTTTTTTTTGCTGGGGGTGGGGGCGTTGGGGGGTGCTGAGTCTTGCTCTGTCGCCTAGGCAGGAGTGCAATGGTGTGATCTCTGCTCACTGCAACCTCTGCCTCCTGGGTTCATGCCATTCTGCTGCCTGAGCCTCCTGAGAAATTTGGACTACAGGTGCGTGCCACCACGCCTGGCTAAATTTTTTTTTTTTGTATTTTTTGGTTGAGATGGGGTTTCGCCATATTGGCCAGGCTGGTCTCACACTCCTGACCTCAGGTGATCCATCTGCCTCGGCTTCCCAAAGTATTGGGATTACAGGTGGAAGCCACCGTGCCTGGCCTCTGTTCTTTTAAAAATCCATATAAGGCTGGACACGGTGGCTCAGGAAGGGCTGGCAGGATGCATGAAAATCAGGCAAAAGCTCAAGGATGTTGTCTAAACATTTTGTTCTTATGGGACCAGAATAGTGGATGTGGTTTGGATATTTGTCCCCACCCAAATCTCATGGAAATATAATCCCCAGTGTTGCAGGTGGGGCCTGGTGGGGTGTTTGGGTTATGGGGCAGATCCCTCATGGCTTGGTGCTGTCCTCTCCTTACAGAGCTGGTTGTTGTAAAGTGTGGCACCTCCTCCCCACACTCACTCTCTTGCTCACTCTGTGATGTGGGATGCCTGCTCCTGCTTCACCTTCTGCCATGAGTAAAAGCTCCTTGAGGTCTCTCAAAAGATGAACAATGTCAGATGTCTTGCTTGTATAGCCTGCAGAACTGTGAACCAATTAAACCTCTTTTCTTATATATTACCCAGTCTCAGGTATTTCATAATAGCAATGCAAGAACGACCTAATATAGGAGTGAACCATGAACTGGTCATTCCCTGGTAGACAAAACAAAGGCATGCTAGTGAAGGCAGAAACTAATATCATTTATCTGCTATCCAAACTCCAAAGAGGTTAATTCAGTAACAAAAATTTCTCAAAACTCACAGCTATTTAGTATTCGTTACACTTAGCCTCATACTTGAATGCTGTTACTATTTTTTTTTTTTTTTGAGGTGGCAACTTCCTCTGTTGCCCAGGATGGAGTGCAGTGGCATAATTTCGGCTCACTGCAACCTCTGCCTCCTGGGTTCAAGCAATTCTCCTGCCTAAGCCTCCCGAGTAGCTGGGACTACAGGCACGCACCAACATGCCTGGTGTTTTTTTTTTTTTTTTTTTTTATATTTTTTGTAGGGGTGGGGTTTCACCATATTGGCCAGGTTGGTTTTGAACTCCTGACCTTGTGACCTGCCCGCCTTGGCCTCCCAAAGTGTTGGGATAACAGGCGTGAGCCACTGCGCATGGCCGAATGCTGTTACTATTTATTGACATCAAAACAAAACAAGCTGAGACTAAAAGTTGCTATTTAACAGCAACAGACATGGGTGCAGTTTCCTTCCTGGAGAGGGTAGGCACTCAGATCATGAGCCCTGAGATAAAACAAACTGGATTGTCAATAGTCAAACAACGACTACATTTTACCTCTTAACAGAAAAAATCCTGAAGATAAAATGAGATATTTCACAATATTTTTATCCTAAACTCATGTAAGTAAACAAAAAACTAAAACTAATCCAGAAACTTTAGGACATTGGACACAGAAGTACCATGACTATTTAAATGTTTGTATCAGGCGGGCGCGGTGGCTCACGCCTGTAATCTCAGCATTTTGGGAGGCCTAGGCGGGCGGATCACCTAAGGTCAGGAGTTTGAGACCAGCCTGGCCAACATGGTGAAACCCCAACTCTACTAAAAATACAAAAATTATCTGGGTATGGTGGCAGGTGCCTGTAATCCCAGTTACTTGGGAGACTGAGACAGGAGAATTGCTTGAACCCGGGAGGCAGAGGTTGCAGTGAGCCGAGATTGCGCCACTGCACTTCAGCCTGGGTGACAAGAGTGAAACTCCATCTCAATATATAAATGAATGAATAAATGAATGTTTGCATTAACAAAAATTTGTTCTATCCTTCACCGTACTTGTACTACAATGACATGCTTGTTGCTTCTACACTAAACAAAGTCAACAGTTATCATCAACAATGCAATATAACAAGATTGGAACAAGGCTTCAAAGCGACTCTACTCCACCCAAATTTAGAAAATTCAATTCAGGATGAACAAGAGCTTTTGATTTTAGAACCAGCTCTTACTTTTCTCTCGGTCATATGTGATGAAGTCCTCACTTGACATTTCCCCCTGCAAATTGCAATGCATGTCCTCGCCATCAGCTTTTTCTGACACTTTAAATTGTATACCGGCCGGGATCAGTGGCTCATGCCTGTAATCCCAGCACTTTGGGAGGCTGAGGCGGGCGGATCATCTGAGGTTGGGAGTCCGAGACTAGCCTGACCAACATGGAGAAACCTCATCTCTACTAAAAAATATAAAATTAGCCGGGCGTGGTGGTGCATGCCTGTAATCCCAGCTACTCAGAAGGCTGAGGCAGGAGAATCGCTTGAACCCAGGAGGCAGAGGTTGCGGTGAGCTGAGATCATGCCATTGCACTCCAGCCTGGGCAACAAGAGCGAAACTGCCTCAACATAAATAAATATTAAATTGTAAAATTGCAAAAACAATGAAATAGTACTTCAAATTCTGAACCTCTGATCAGATTCCCGCTTTGACACAAAACTTCTCTGCAGTGTACCCCACCAGCACAGCAACCCCCTTTATCTCTATTCCTTTGCCCTCTGGATTGCCTAACATGCTCTTTGGCTGCCTAGACAGTCAGGACACCTAAGGCCATCTGGACTTATCACTCTTCTCCTCCTTCTTTTCTAAGATTAATACCACTTTCCTGGTTTCTTTCTACTGCTGAATTTCTAGACTTGTCAACAGGGTGCCAGAGTCGACCTCGGCCTCGAGCTCCTGGATGGTAATGCTGCATCCATGGACAATCCTGAAGTACAATGAAATATGTTACTGTTACAACAATGCTACTAAGCTTTTACATGAGATTTTCAGCTTATACCTTATATATTAATATATACTAAAGCCCAGTCATTTAAGACCAAATATATGAGGGCATGGTAAATGACAACTTGCCCACCACTTCTCTCCATCTCCAAAGAAAAGCAACCATTTCATAATTATTATTTTATATGGTTTCTTTGGAGATAGGGTCTCACTGTGTCAGCCAGGCTGCAGTGCAAGTGGCATGATCCGGCCTCGACATTCCAGACTCAAGGAATCCTACCACCTCAGCTCCCTAGTAGCTGGGATTGCAGGCCTGTGCTGCCACATTGGGTTAAGTTTTTAAATTTTAGCTGAGACGAGGTTGCCCTATGTTGCCCAGGCTGTTCTCGAACTCCTGAAGTTAAGTGATCCTCCTACCTTGGCCTCCCAAATGCTAGGGTTACCTGCAGGAGCCATCACGCTTGGCCCACTTCTTTTCTTTTTTTTTTTTTCCTTTTTATTTTTTCTTGTCTGAGATAGAGTCTTGCTTTGTCGACCAGACTGCAGTACAGTGGTGTGATCTCAGCTTGCTGCAACTTCTGCCTCCCCAGTTCAAGTGATTCTCCTGCCTCAGCCTCCCAAGTAGCTGGGACTACAGGCATGCACCACCATACCTGGCTAATTTTTGTATTTTTAGTTGAGGCAGGGTTTTACCATGTTTTTCAGGCCGATCTCACACTCCTGACCTCAAGTGATCTGCTCGCATTGACCTCCCAAAGTGCTGGGATTATAGGCATGAGCCACCAACACTGGCCCCAGGCTTGTCTTGAATTCCTGGCCTCAAAGTGATCCTCTCGTCTTGGCTTCCCAAAGTGCTAGGATTACAAGCATGAGTAACGGTGCCTGGCCTATAGTTATTAAGGACATGAAATTACACTTTATGATGAACTGGTCCTCACCCTCGCTGCCTACGACACAAGAAAGGAGAGGAAGGGGGCAAACTAGAAGAAGAAATGTGGTATTGGGGGAAAGGATACCAATTAAAGATGGATTTTAAAAATTGCTTAACAGGAGGTAGGGCCCTCCTGTGGTTTCACCAGTTGATCTGGCTGAGGGATTTTCTCCAGCAACACTTGCAGCTTAGGGGCAGGAGGCTCCCACAACACCCTGTGCTACTACAGCCCTTCTGACATTGTGCATCATGATCTGATTATGGCTATTTGTCTCTTGCCAATACTGAACCATGAGTTCAACACAGACAAGGACTTATTTGAATCCTTGACCCCAGCGCCTGGCACACAGTCAGTGATTGGTACATGTTTACTAAATGAATGAGCAAATGGAAGAAATTTAAGAGGGTGGGGTGGGGATGGATGGTTTATCCAGAGTTGGACAGGCAAGGCAAGTAGAACAAAAGAGGGAGGTGCTGATATGAAAACTGCCTTGAGATGGCTGGCAACAGGCTAGACAAAGAGGCAAGGGATGTCAACTCATGCCTAGTGGTTCAGGAGCGTTGCTTCTCCTAGGGCCAACTCCTCTAACCTCTACCTTGGCTTCCATTTACACCTGCCTTTGCAAGAAGCCTACAGTATTCATTATCTCTTTCTCTTGTGTGTTCATCCTTCTAGAGCTTTCCTTTTGGCTTCTAAACATACTTTCTCATATTTAAAATAAAGCTTCATTAGCACCATTAACCTATGTATCTCCATTTATTTTTTTTTTCTCTTTTTTTTTTGAAAGAGTCTTGCTCTGTCACCCAGGCTGAAGTGCAATAGCGTGATCTCCGCTCACTGCAACCTCCGCCTCCTGGGTTCCAGCGGTTCTCCTGCGTCAGCCCCTTGAGTAGCTGGGACTACAGGTGTGCACCACCACGCCCAGCTAATTTTTCTATTTTTGGTAGAGACGGAGTTTCACCATGTTGGCCGTTCTGGTCTCAAACTTCTGACCTCAGGTGATCCACCAGCCTTGGCTTCCCAAAGTGCTAGGATTACAGGTGTGAGTCACTGCGCCCGGCCGTATCGCCATTTCTTTCACAGCTGTATTAGTCCGTTTTCACACTGGTAGAAAGAGATACCTGAGCGTGGGTAATTTATAAAGAAAAGAGGTTTAACTGACTCACAGTTCCACATGGCTGGGGGATCCTCAGGAAACATATAATCATGGCAAAAGGGGAAGCGGGCATGTCTTACATGGCAGCAGACTAGAGGTGAAGTGCGAGCATAGGAAAAACTGCCTCATATGAAACCATCAGATCTTGTGAGACTTACTATCATGAGATCAGCATGTAGGAGACTATCCCCATAATCCAGATTCCTCCCTAGACACATGAAGATTACAATTCAAGATGAGATTTGGGTGGGTATACAGAGCCAAACTGTATCAACAGACATATCAGAAGTCTTTAAAAGTCCATGGAAATTGTGTATTATGAAAAACTATGCATGGATTTCAAAATCTTTTTGCACCAAAATAAACTGGTACTAACTCATTATAAAACATCTTGACAGGATCTAGTTTAAGGCACTAAAAAAGGAGAAGTCATCAGTTTGAAAAGAGCCCCTATCAGAGCAACATGAATTCTGCTAAAATTGAAGCAAGAACAAACATCAAATTTAGGGTGAAGCTTGGGTGGAAGAATGGTAAAATCACTGATGCTTTACCAAAAGTTTATGGGGACAATGCACCTTAAAAAATCAGCAGTTTACAAATGGATAATTGTAACAAGGGAAAAGATGACATTAAAGATGAAGGCTGCAGCAGCAGGACATCAATTTGCAAGGAAAAAAATTAATCCTCTTTGTGCCCTAACTGAAAAGAATCAGCCAGGTGTGGTAGCTCATGCCTGTAATAACCGCACTTTGGGAGGTCAAGTGGATCCCTTGAGGTCCAGAGTTTGAGACCAGCCCGGCCAAGCTGGTGAAATCCCTTTTCTACTGAAAAAATACAAAAATTAGCCACGCATGGTGGTGCGCGCCTATAGTCCCAGCTACTCGGGAGGCTGAGGCAGGAGAATCTGTTTGTGTCCAGGAGGCGGAGCTTGCAGTGAGCCGAAATCGTGCCACTGTACTCCAGCTTGGATAACAGAGTGAGACTGTCTCAAAAAAAGAAAAGGACCAATGATTAACAGCAGAAACACAGCCAGGTGCGGTGGCTCACGCCCGTAATCCCAGCACTTTGGGAGGCCGAGGAGGGTGGAACAACTGAGGTCAGGAGTTCAAGACCAGCCTCGCCAACATGGCGAAACCCCATCTCTACTGAAAATACAAAAACTAGCCAAGCGTGGTGGTGCGTCCCTGTAATCCCAGGTACTAGGGGATGCTGAGGCAGGAGAATAGCTTGAACCCGGGAGGCAGAGGTCGCAGTGAGTAGAGATTTACCCACTGCACTCCAGCCTGGGCAACAGGGCGCGACCTTGTCTCAAAAAAAAAAAAAAACAGCAGAAACAACAGCCAACACCACAGACATCTCAATGGGTTCAGCTTACACAATTCTGACTGAAAAAGTAAAAGCTGAGCAAACTTTCCACTTGATGGGTGCTGAAACCAGATCAGCTGCAAAGAACAGAGATTTCAATGGAAATTGTAAACAAGTGAGATCTATCAGGTTGCTGCAAAATTAATTATTATATTTGCCATCGAAAGGAATGTCAAAAACAGCAATGACTTTTGCTCCAACCGATAGATCATGAAGCCATCTATTGGGAAAGTGTAATGAGAAGTGATACGTGGCTTTCCCAGTATGACTCTGAAAACAAAGCACAATCAAGGCAATGACTCCAAAGAGGTTAAAGTGATCCAGTCAAAGTGAAATGGACTGGCCAAGAGCAAAGGTCATGGCAATAGCTTTTTGAACTGCTTAAGAAATTTTGCTTGTTGACTTTCTGGAGGGCCAGATAATAATAATATCTGCTTATTATGAGAGTGTCTTGAGAAAGTTAGCTAACTCTTTAGCAGAAAAATGCCCAGGAAAGTTTCACCAGAGAGTCCTTTTCTACCACGGCAATGCTCCTGCTTGTGCCTCTCACCAAACAAGAGCAATTTTGAGAGTTTCCATGGAAACCCATTAGGCATCCACCTTACAGTCAGGATTTAGTACCCTCTGACTTCTTTTTGTTTCCTAATCTTAAAAAATCTGTAAAGGGCACCCATTTTTCTTCAGTAAATAATGCAAAAAAAGATTGCATTGATGTGGTTAAATTACCACGATCTCCAATTCCTTGGGGATGGATGAAATGGCTAGTATCTAGGTGCTGCAAGCAAGAGACAAAAATAAATAAATAAATAAATGGCTAGTATCATTGCTTACAAAGTGTCTTGACCTTGGTGGAGCTTATGATGAGAAATATATATATATACACACACACACACACACACACAAATATATATGTGTGTGTATATATACACACACACAAATATATGTATGTGTGTGTATATATACACACACATATATATACACATATATACATACACACACACACACACACATATATATATTTTCGAGACAGACTCTCACTCTGTCACCCAGGCTGGAGTGCAGTGGCTGGGTTCAAGCGACTCTCCTGCCTCAGCCTCCTGAGTAGCTGGGACTACAGGTGTGCCACCACGCCCAGCTAATTTCTGTATTTTTAATAGAGACGGGGTTTCACCACGTTGGCCAGGATAGTCTCGATCTTTCGACCTCGTGATCCATATGCCTCGGCCTCCCAAAGTGCTGGGATTATAGGCACAAACCACCGCGCTCGGCCTTTTAGTTCTATTTTCCACACACTCTTGGGTTTTTCTTTTCTTTTTTTTTTTTTGAGACGGGAGTATCACCCAGGCTGGAGTGCAGCAGTGCGATCTCAGTTCACTGCAACCTTCACCTCCTGTGTTCAAGCGATTCTCCCACCTCAGCCTCCCAAGTAGCTGGGATTACAGGCACCCACCATCATGCTCGGCTACTTTTTTTTTTTTTTTTTGTATTTTAGTAGAGACGAGGTTTCACCATGTTGGCCAGGTTGGTCTGGAACTCCTGACCTCAGATGATCCGCCTGCCTCAGCCTCCCAAAGTTCTGGGATTACAGGCGTGACACCGTGCCCAACCTTTTCTTCTTTTTTCACATTTTGTCTTCTTCTTTTTTCGAGACAGAGTCTTGCTCTGTTGCCCAGGCTAGAGTGCAGTGGCTCAATATTGGCTCACTGCAACTTCTGCCTCCCAGGTTCAAGCGATTCTCCTGATTCAGCCTTCCAAATAGTTGGAGTTGGAAGGAAAGGCACACGCCACCATGCCTCACTAAATTTTTTTTTGTAGTTTTTAGTAGAGACCAAGTTTCACCATGTTGGCCAGGCTGGTCTCGAACTCCTGACCTCAGGTGATCCACCTGCCTTGGCCTCCCAAAGGACTGTGATTACAGGCATGAGCCATCGCGCCTGGCTTCTGTTCTTTTGAAAATCCATATGAAGCCAGGCACAGTGGCTCATGCCTGTAATCCCAGCACTTTGGGAGGCTAAGGTGGGCAGATTGCTTAATCCCAGGAGTGTCAGACCAGCCTGGACAACATGGGAAAACCCTCTCTCTACAAAAAATACAAAAAGTAGCTGAGTGTGGTGTCACATGCCTGTAATCTCAGCTACTCAAGAGGCTGAGGTGGGAGAATCATCTGAGCCCTGAATGTCAAGGCTGCAGTGAGCCGCGATTGTGCCATTGCACTCCAGCTTGGGTAACAGAGGGAGTCCTTACTTTAAAAAAAAAAAAAAAATCCTCATAGGAACTTACTGCATATCATGATTCTTTCCTCCTTTTTTTGAGACGGAGTTTTGCTCTTGTCACCTGGGCTGGAGTTCAGTGGTGCAATCTCGGCTCACTGCAACCTCTGCCTCCTGGGTTTAAGCAATTTTCCTGCCTCAGCCTCCCAAGTAGCTGGAATTACAGGTGCCCACCACCACACCTAGCTAATTTTTGTATTTTTAGTAGAGACAGGGTTTCACCATGTTGGCCATTCTGGTCTTGAACTCCTGACTTCAGGTGATACATCTGCCTCTGCCTCCCAAAGTGCTGGGATTACAGGCGTGAGCCACCATGCCTAGCCAATTCTTTTTTTTCTGAGATGGAGTCTCGCTCTGTCTCCCAGGCTGGAGTGCAGTGGCGTAATCTCAGTTTACTGCAACATCCGCCTCCCCGGTTCAAGTGATTCTTCTGCCTCAGCTCCCAAGTAGCTGGGACTACAGGCGTGCACCACCACGCTTGGCTAATTTTTGTATTTTTAGTAGAGACAGGGTTTCACCATATTGGCCAGGCTGGTCTTGAACTCCTGACCTTGTGATCTGCCCGCCTTGGCCTCCCAAAGTGCTGGGATTACAGGCGTCAGCCGCCCTGCCTGGCAATTCTTTCTTATAATTATACTTTGATATGTTCAGAAGAATGTGAAGGAGGCCTCAGAGTAGAACTAAGGGTCCACAGACTTTTGAAGTTCCCTTGTACTTCTCTAAAAAGTTGTATATATTGTTTCCTTTCTCAACCCAGTCTGGCTTCCCTGTCCCATAATTGTAGGTCATCAATGATTTGCAAGTCACTGAATGCCATGGCCTTTGTCAGGCATTGTATTTGACCATTCAGCGGCATCCAACCCTGCTGGCCACTCCTCTTCCTTGAAACTTTTCTCTGGGTTACTTTGGATTAAGTAACCCAGAGTCTTCTGGTTTTTTTTCCTATTCTCTGGCTAGTCCTTCTCTGTCTTTGTAGATATGTTTTCTTACCTCTATGTAACGTTAGCATTATTCAAGACTGGGGCCTAGGTCTGCTTCTGTTCTTTTCTCTCTCCCCCTAAAGTGACAGAATCCATAGCCAAGACTTCAATGACCACCTAAATAAAAATGGATGAATTTCAAATCTATACATCCATTTCCCACCTGCCATTCACCTCTCACTGTAAACATGGTTTCTGTCTCTTTTAGGTCATCAGTTTCATTAGTTCACTAATGAAATCACGACTGCCAAATCCAATGAACACTTTCATTTCTTGTCTTCCTTAACCTCTCTGTGGCATGGGACACTGTCAGCCAATCTCCTTGAAATTTTCCCTTCCCTTAATCCTCTCTCCCAGTTGAGTCATTCACTTTCAATCATTATTGGGGGCTCTTCTACATGCCTCTTGGGCTACTTGTTTCTAAAAGCTGAGGAAACATAAAGTGGTGATTTAGAAAGTAAAGGCAAACTGATGCCATGTTAGGAAGAGCTGGCAGAATGAATGAAAATCAGGCAAAAGCTCAAGGATGTTGTCTAAACATTTTGTTCTTATGGGACCAGAATAGTGGATGTGGTTTGAATATTTGTCCCCACCTAAATCTCATGGAAATATAATCCCCAGTGTTGGAGGTGGGGCCTGGTGGGGTGTTTGGGTTATGGGGCAGATCCCTCATGGCTTGGTGCTGTCCTCTCCATAGTGAGTGCTTACAGAGCTGGTTGTTGTAAAGTGTGGCATCTCCTCCCGCACTCACTCTCTTGCTCACTCTGTGACGTGAGATGCCTGCTCCTGCTTCACCTTCCGCCATGAGTAAAAGCTCCCTGAGGCCTCCTAGAAGCTGAGAGATGTCAGATGCCATGCTTGTACAGCCTGCAGAACTGTGAACCAATTAAATCTCTTTTCTTATAAACTAACAAGTCTTAGACATTTCTTTATAGCAATGCAAGAATGGCCTAATACAGTAGTGAACCATGAATTGATTTTTCCCTGGTGGAAAAAAACCAAGGTAAGCTAGTGAAGGCAGAAACTAATATTGTTCATCTCCTTTCAATATGTCCAAGAGGTGAATTCAGTACTCTGTCTCAAAAATAAATAAATAAATAATAAATAAATGTTTGCATCAACGAAAGTTTGTTCTATCCTTCCCTGCACTTGTACTATGAGGACATGCTTCTTGCTTCTACACTACACAAAGTCAACAGTTACCATCAACAATGCAACAGAAGGAGATTGGAACAAGACTTCAAAGAGACTCTATACCACCCAAATTAAGAAAATTCAATTCAGGATGAATAACAGCTTTTGATTTTAGAAATAGCTTTTACTTTTCTCTCATGTCATATGTGATAAAGTCCTCATTTGACATTTCCCTCCTGCAAACTGCAATGCATGTCCTCACCATCAGCTTTTTCTGACAATAAAGTTAATTTGTAGAAATTGCAAAAACAATGAAATTGTACTCCCAATTCGGAACCTCTGACCAGATTCCTGCTTTGACATAAAATTTACTCCTCTGCAGTGTACCCCACCAGCACAGTGACCCCTTTTCTCTCTATTCTTTTGCCCTGAAGGCACTTTTGGATGGCTTACCATGTGTCCTTTGGCTGCCTAGACAGTCAGGACACCTATGTCATCAGAACTTATCACACACCTCTCCTCCTCCTTTTTTTTTTGTTTGTTTGTTTGAGATGGAGTCTTACTTTGTTGCTCAGGCTGGAGTGCAATGGCGCAATCTTGGCTCACTGCAACCTCCACCTCCTGGGTTCACGCAATTCTGCCGCAGCCTCCCCAGTAGCTGGGACTACAGGCACCTGCCCCAACACCTGACAGATTTTTGTATTTTTAGTAGAGACTGGGTTTCACCATGTTGGCCAGGCTGGTCTCGAAGTCCTGACCTCAAGCGATCTGCCCGCCTCCGCCTCCCAAAGTGCTGGGATTACAGGTGTGAGCCATCGCACCTGGCCTCCTCCTTCTTTTCTATGGCTAATACTACTTTCCTGCTTTTCTTCTACTGGTGAGTATCTATAGTTGGTGCTGTCATCAGGAAAGTAGTGTTGATAGCGGCTTTGAGCTCCTGGATGGTAAGACTGCATCCCTGGATGATCCTGAAGTACAATGAAATATGTTACTGTTACAACAATGCTACTAAGCTTTTACATGGGATTTTCTGAATCATAAGTTATATATTAATATATCCTAAAGCCCAGTTATTTAAGACCATAAATATGAGGGCATGGTAAATGACAACTTCTCTACTTCCTCTTTCCATCTCCAACGAAAAGCAACCATTTTGTAATTACTATTTTATAAGCCTAGGTAGATTTCTTTTACAGGGTCTCACTGTGTCACCCAGGTTGAAGTGCAAGTAGCACAATTGCGGCTCACTGCAGCCTCGACATTCCAGATACTGGTGATCCTCCCACCTCAGCTCCCTAATAGCTGGGATTGCAGGCACACTCTCCCACACTGGGCTAAGTTTTAAAATTTTTTAGTAGAGATGGGGTCTCCCTATGTTGCCCAGCCTGGTCTCAAATTCCTGAAGTTAAGTGATCCTCTTGCCTTGGCCTCCTAAATGCTAGGATTACCTGTATGAGCCATCACACCTGGCCCATTTCATTCCTTTTTTTGAGAGGGAGTCTCGCTCTGCTGCCCAGGCTGGATTGCAGTGGCACGATCTTGGCTCACTGCAATCTCTGCCTCCCAGGTTCAAGCGATTCTCATGCCTCAGCCTCCCGAGTAGCTGGGATAACAGGTGCCCACCAGCACACTTGGATTTTTGTATTTTTAGTAGAGATGGGGTTTTGCCATGTTGGCCAGACTGGCCTCAAACTCCTGACCCCATGTGATCCACCCACCATGGCTTTCCTAAGTGCTGGGATTACATGCGTGAGCCACCATGCCCGGCCTTTTGTGAGATTTCTAAGGACGACTAATCCTATGTATATAGCTGTCAGCATATACTTTCCAAGAATTCACCAAGTGTAATCTTGGCTACCTTGAATAATGATATAATTGGTATAATAAATTTTTGTTGTATAAAGGACAGCCCAGAGGCAGTAAAGAAAAATGTAGGCAACCTGCCCCTACCCTGCCATCAAAAACATGTAACATACAGGACTCTTTATACCAACAAAAAGTTACAAAACCTCCTTAATTAACCTTTCCCCTATGGAATTAAAGATAACATCTGTGAATACCATAGAAAGTTACATCTTAATTTTATAATCAAAGCTTAATTACTATCTCCGGACTACCTTATGCATGCATGCTGTGGAGGGTGGTCCAGTTCCAGTTCCTCCAGATTTTGAAGGCATTAAAGCTTCATGAACGCCCAAGTCATCCTTTTTCACTGCCCTGGAACTAGTTACCCCCACTGCCCTCACTCTTTCAATTTTTCCTGCCTCCTTCCCTTAGCATCACTTCTCTCCACCAGAGTAGCTAACTCCCCATGGCTATAAGCATTGTGAGAAAGCAACCACGTTGTGTTCACTACCATAGTGTCAATGCCAACACATACTGAGGTGCTCAATTATTGTTTAGATAGCCAGGGTTTGAGTTGTCTCCATCCTACCTTTATTTCCAAAGAAATCAAACATGTATCTGAAGAAAAGGAGGCAGAAAATGAACAAACACTTGCTTTCCTATTGTTTCTAACAGTTTATATTTATTTTTAAATTATTATTTTTAAAAATTTTTTGAGGCAGGGTCTCACTCTGTAACCAAGGCTGGAGTGCACTGGTGTGATCATGGCTCACTGCAGCCTTGACTTCCCAGACTGAAGTGATCCTCCAGTTTCAGCCTCCTGAGTAGCTGGGGCTACAGGTGCACACCACCATGCCCAGTTAATTTTTAAAAATTATTTTAGAGATGGGGTCTTGCTCTGTTGCCCTGGCTGGAGTGCAGAGGCACGATCTTGACTCACTGCAACCTCCACCTCCCAGGCTCAAGCAATTCTCGTGCCTCAGCCTCCCGAGTAGCTGGGATTATAGGTGCCCGCCACCACGCCCAGATAATTTTATACTTTTAGTAGAGATGGGGTTTCACCATGTTGGCCAGGGTAGTCTCGAACTCCTGACCTCAAGTGATCCACCCACCTAGGCCTCCCAAAATGCTGTGATTATAGGCGTGAGCCACTGCGTCCAGCCTATTTTGTTTAAATTAATAGACTTTTATTTGTAGAGAAGTTTTGGGTGAGATGACTGCTCCTGCTTCACCTTCTGCCATGAGTTAAAGCTCCCTTCGGCCTCGCCAGAAGGTGAGTGATGTCAGATGTCAAAAATTTAATTTCTCAAAACTCATAGCTATTTAGTAAAGTTAATAAACACACTTAGCTTCACACTTGAATGCTGTTACTATTTATTGACATCAAAACAAAACAAGCTGAGACTAAAAGTTGCTATTTAACAGGAACAGACATTGGTGCAGTTTCCTTCCTGGAGAGGGTATGCACTCAGATCATGAGACCTAAGATCAAACACACACTGGATTGTCAAGAATCAAACAAGGACTACATTTCACCTCTTAATAGAAAAAATGCTGAAGACAAAACATGATGTTTAAAAATATTCTTTATGCTAAGCTCATATAAGCAAACAAAAAACTAAAACTAATCCTAAAACTTTAGGACACTGGATACAGAAGTAACATAACTATTTAAATTTTTGCATCAATGAAAGTGTGATCTATCCTTCACTGTACTTGTACTACAAGGACATGCTTGTTGCTTCTACACTACCCAAAGTCAACACTTATCATCAACAATGCAATAGAACTAGATCGGAACAAGGCTTCAAAGCGACTCTGCTCTACCCAAACTCAGAAAATTCAATTCAGGATGAACAACAGCTTTTGATTTTAGAACCAGCTCTTACTTTTCTCTTGTGTCATATGTGATGAAGTCTTCCTTGACAATTCCCCCTGCAAATTGCAATGCATGTCCTCGCCGTCACCTTTTTCTGACACTTTAAAATTAATTGTAGAAATTGCAAAAGCAATGAAATTGTACTTCCAATTCTGAACCTCAGATCAGATTCCTGCTTTGACACAAGACTTACTCCTCTGCAGTGTACCCCACCAGCACAGCGACTCCCTTTCTCTCTATTCCTTTGCCCTGAAGGCACTTCTGGATTGCTTAACGTGTGCTCTTTGGCTGCCTAGACAGTCAGGACACCTAAGGCCATCTGGACTTATCACTCCTCTCCTCCTTCTTTTCTATGGCTAATACCACTTTCCTGCTTCCTTTCTGCTGCTGAATCTCCAGACTTGGTGCTGTCATCAGGGGGACAGAGTCGATTTCGGCTTCGAGCTCCTGGTTGATAAAGCTGCATCGCTGGACGATCCTGAAGTACAATAAAATATGTTACTGTTACAACAATGCTATTAAGCTTTTATATGGGATTTTTAAGAGTCATAGTTATGTAATACTCAAGTGAAGTCATTTAAGACCAAAAATGTGAGGGCATGGTAAATGACAACTTGCCTACTTCCTCTCTCCATCTCCAAAGAAAAGCAACCATTTTGTAACTACTATTTTATATGCTTGGGTAAATAAATTATTTTTTGGAGATAGGGCCTTACCCTGTCACCCGGGCTGAAGAGCAAGTGGGACGATCATGGCTTATTGCAGCCTCGACATTTCACACTCAAATGATCCTCCCACCTCAGGTCCCTAGTAGTTGGGATTATAGGCACGCGCTACCACGCTGGGCTGTTCTTACATTGTTAGTACAAACGGGTTCTCCCTATGTTGCCCTGGCTGGTTTCCAACTCTTGGGCTCAAGTGATCCTCCTGACTTGGCCTCCCAAACTGTTGGGATTATAGGCATAAGCCATCATGCCCGGCCCTAAGTGCCAGTTTTAAAGGAAGCACAGAAGATAGAGGAACATGTTAACACCACGGGGATGTAATCTGCCAATTCAGAACAGGAAAAGCCCTACAAGACAAATTGGTTTCTGCAACAAATGGTAGGAAAACAAGAGAAGGGGAAATTGTTTAAATTAAAAGAAAACTTGGCTGGGTGCAGGGCTCACACCTGTATTCCCAATACTTTGGGAGGATTGGTCGAGCTCAAAAGTTTAACACCAGCCTGAGCAACATAGGGAGACTTCATCTCTACAAAAAAAATTAAAAATTAGCTGGGCGTGGTGATGCATGCCTGTAGTCCCAGGTACTCTGGAAGCTGAGGTCGGGGGAATCGCTTAAGCCCAGGAGGTTGAGGCTACAGCGAGCTGAGATCATGCCACTGCACTCCAGCCTGGGTGACACAGCAAGACTGTCTCAAAAAATACATTAAAAACAAAAAAGAACTGAAGGAGACATTTCAAGCAAGTATAATTTGTGGAATTTGTTTAGGTCCTATTAAAAAAGACATTAGGCTGGGCACGGTGGCTCACACCTATAATCCCAGCACTTTGGGAGGCTAAGACAGGAGGATCACCTGAGGTCAGGAGTTCGAGACCAGCCTGGCCAACATGGTGAAACCCGGTCTCTACTAAAAATACAAAAATTAGCCAGGCATGGTGGCTCGCACCTGTAGTCCCAGCTATTCGGGAGGCTGAGGCAGGAGAATCACCTGAACCCGGGAGGTGGAGGTTGTGGTGAGCCAAGATCATGCCACTGTACTCCAGCCTGGATGAGCTGAGATTACAGGTGTGCACCACCACAACCAGCTGATGTTTGTATTTTTAGTAGAGACGGGGTTTCACCATGTTGGCCAGTCTGGTCTAGAACTCCTAGGCTCTAGCAATCCACCCACCTCAGCCTCCCAAAGTGCTGGGATTACAAGTGTAAGCCACTGCGCCTGGCCCATCATACTATTCTCTATTCTACTTTTGTGTATGTTTACAATTTCTATAGTAAGTTAATAAAAGCCCAGCCAAGACTAAAAAAAAGTTGGCTGGGCATGGTGGCTCATGCTGTAATTCCAGCACTTTGGGAGGCCGAGGCAGGCAGATCACGAGGTCAGGAGATCAAGACCATCCTGGCTAACACGGTGAAACCCCGACTCTACTACAAACACAAAAAAATTAGCGAGGCATGGTGGTAGGTGCCTGTAGTCCCAGCTACTCGGGAGGCTGAAGCAGGAGAATGGTGTGAACCCAGGAGGCGGAGCTTGCAGTGAGCGAGATTGCGCCACTGCAGTCCACCTTGGGCGACACAGCAAGACTCCGTCTCAAAAAAAAAAAAAGAAAAACAAAAACTTGCAGATTATTAAAGTTCCCCTTTAAAAAATTCTATAATAACAGTGAACTAGCCCTTTCTTTACACTTGCAGGAAAGGGGAAAAAAAAAACCCTCATAAACAAGTTTAATGACAATCAGTACCTTGTTTCTTATTCGATCTCTCTTGACCACTTCTTCTTTCTTTTCAGTTTTTTCTGAGCTGCCTATTGATTCTGTACTTTCAGCCTTCTTTCCTTTATCCCGAAGTGTGTCTTTCTCTTTTTTCATTTCTTCTTCTTTTCTCTTAAAAGTCTTCTCTTTCTCATAGCGCTCCTTCTGCCTACGGCGCTCTTCTTCTTGCCGCTTCAGCCTCTCTCTTTCTCGAAGAATGCGCTCCTGATCTCGTTCATATTCCCGTTCTCTCTCCCTGTAGTCTCTGCCACTCTCATCTTCAGGTCTGCATGAAAAACAACTCTGAGACAGAACCCTGAAAGATCTTGTAATCACAAATGCAGAACACTGTGATTCTGATTTGGCCCCTGCAATGAGGTTGCACTTTTAGAGCAGAGTGAAAAATACTAGCGTTTTAAAAAGGAACAAAACCCCAAAACCATTCACCCAGATTAAGATACAAGGATATATCTGAAACCGTTCCTCCTCATCCCCCTGCCCTGCATAAAACAGCTTATCTTAATTCAGGTATATGTCTAGGACACAGCAGCAAAACTAGCATGTATAAATCAAACATAACAAAGAGTCCTTGACTACTGACCTCTTTGGTTTTTCATCTTTAGGTTCACTATCAGAACGCTTGGGCAATGTACAACTTTGCCCACTGGCTCTTTCATCACTGAGATTCTCTTTGTCCAATTTCTTGGCTTTTTCTCTTTTGTCCAATTCTTTTTCATCTCCTTTTTCTGGCTTCTTGAGTAGCTTTAAAAAGAAAATGTTTATTTTTATTTTGAAGGCTGGGACACTATCTTCTGATTCTATTAAAAACCCAGTATACCAAATATTTAAAATTTAGACTAGACAAGGCCCCCTATCTCTGCAAGTGCGCTTAACCTTTCAGGTGAACAACTAGTGCACGAGAGCAGTAATTTACTAAAAGGATGCTATTAAAGTGTTATCCACTTGAACGAAGTGGTTTAATCACTTTGTGGCAATAGGATCAAGACTCCTTTGGCTTTTATTGTGAGGCAGGGTCTCGCTCTGTTGCCCATGCTGGAGTGCAGTGGCGTGAACATAGCTCACCGCAACCTTGACCTCCTGGGCTCAAGTGATCCTCCTGCCTCAGCCTCTTGAGTAGCTGGGACAACAGGTGCACGCCACTACATCTGGCTAATTTTTAAATTTTTTTTGTAGAGACAGGGTCTCACCATGTTGCCCGGGTTGGTCTCAAACTCCTGGGCTCACACCATCTTTCTGTCTCCGCCTCCCACAGTGCTGGGATTACAGGTGTGAGCCACTGTGCCTGGCCTCCTTTGGCTTTAAGTGGGTCAACCTTTAAGTGAACCAATGCATACTTTGAAGTATGCTTCTGTAGCAAACCAGCATTTTGATATAACTTGATGGGAAACAGCCCACAAATTTTAAGTGCTAGGCAGATCATTTCTGTTGGGACTGTTTTTATGTAGTGCTTGGAATGACAAATATCTTGGTCACCAAAGGAGAGATCCATTGCAGGAATAATTTTGCCTTGAGCCTGAGAATAACATACTTATGATGGTACAATTATCTTGCCATTAGAGATGAATAACAATAATTATTTGGCATTTGATTTAAAAATCTAAATGCCTTATACAACCAAATAGCGAAGTTCCATCTCTACTGAGTAGGAACTCTGTATTCAATGCCATAGATACTGACACATGTTCAAAAATGCCATTGTTTCTCACATCCCTGCTATAAATCTCTCGAGAATACCTCCAAGTGTTGGATAATCAGAGAGATTCTTAGGCAAAATAGAAGAATTTCAAGTCTCAGAGTAAAGGCATCATACAAGGTTCATCTCAGGGTGAAGGCATCATGTAAATTACTAAGCAAAAGGCAAAGCACCACAAGACATAAGCACGAAGCACTTTGGCACGCAGACAGCCACTGCAAATGGTGAGTCCAAAATGCACACTGAGAAGCACCAGTGTGAAGTGAGGATACCATGTACAGGTTTCATTGGAAGTGCTCTTATTTCTCCAATGAACATCCTTATTAGAAACCAAGGTGTTCATTACTCTAATAAGAACATTAATGAATGTCTCTAGCATGGCTGGCTCTACCTTCTGCCTTGCTGATTGTTAGGAATAGCAAGTCAAGTCACTTGTGGCATAGCAGACAGAGAGATTGCTGGAAAGAATTAAGATGAGAAACTCCATCCTCCCCCAAGCCCCTCATCACCAGTAATGAGCCCCGTAGAGACTTAGGGAACCCTTACTACATAAACTGCTGAGTTTTCAGGAAGTAAAATAAGGAGACCCTGTCACCCTCTCTGTGAGATTTTCTTTGACTTTATCTGAAGTACTAGGTACTAGTACTTCCCCAGGAAATATGTTGAAACAAGGGCTACCCAAGCCACGCCCTCAGAAGGGAAGTGGCAAGGTTGGGATCTTTCTGCAGATTTTCTTCTTCCCAAATGCAATGCATGAATCCGAATCTGCTGCTCACAGATTCCCAGCTATATGCAGGAAGATACTATGGGAGTCATGTGAGAGGGAAAGGCACATAATGCAGGGTATTTATCCCTAGTCCTCCCACAAGGCAGCCAGTTATGAGAAGCGTATAAGAAGATGAGGCATGGTTGTCCTCCGGCTGTATGTCAATGAAGCTTCTGGGAACACAGCAGAGCATCAGGAAGTCACCTGGGCTTCCTTTTAAAGTAGAAATTTATAATAAAATAGTTCAGCTTTTAAGAAGACTCAAGTCAATCTGAAGGGGTTTTCAACAAGTAACACTACCACCACCACCACCAAAAGGACTTATTAGCTAAGACCTGTGTGTGTGACATGATACTAGATGCTCTGTATCATGTACTTGGTCCTTACATTTTTCTGATTCACAGCTTGTAACAGAAACCTGTGTACCTGAAGACAGTGGAAAACAAACAAATGAGGTAACTTCATGTATCAATTATGAAGGAAAAGCTGAATAAAACCCATAAATCATGCCAGCCAGCCCTAAGCCCTCATTTACTATGAATTTAGAGGACAGTAGTCTACAAATCAAACATTTTCAATGACAAAAATGGCACAGATCTGCACCAAAGAAATAACATACTACTAAATCCTTTTAAATGATCTTAAATTTAAAAACTAATACTATTAGCATTACAGGAAAGATTTTTATTGGATCACTTCCCCCCAAAAGAGCAAAAACAAAACAAAAAATTCATTTACACCAACACAAGACACATGCATATTTAAAGAAGTAGATACATGCAATTTTTAGCAACATGCAGTCAGCTTCAGTACTCTCATACCTTAATCTTTGGTTCATCCTTTAATTTGTCCCTTTCTGGAATTCTGTCTATCTTCTTTAACTTTTCTATATCTTTCCTTTTTCGTTTCTCTTCTTCTTTCCATTTCCTCCTCTCTTCTTCTCTTTGTCTTTTTCTTTCTATTTCTCTCCTTCTTCTTTCTTCTCTCTTTTCTTCTCTCATTCTCTAGAAAGAAACATCAACACAAGTCTTCAAATAAAATAATCATCACCAAAACTCTAATCAATCCCGAAGGCATGGTAGACCCCGACTAAATAATCTTTCCTTCCTACTTTCTACAAAGTGGCATTCTACCACCGTTACCCCCACTCCACCCAGAAAACGAAAGGCAATGAAGACCAGGACCTGCTAATATTAGTCTTCCACTGCTGCCTTACTATCTCTCCAGAGGCTTTCAGAATATCAAAAGAGTGTCTCTGGGACAACCTAAGAACATTCCAGGTTTGTAGAGTGAACTCCTGGTCCAACAACCAGAGTGAAAGAGAGGGCCAGAAAGTGAGACCAACAAGACAAATCCTTAAAGAGTAATGGTGGAAAAAGAATCTATTTATCCTCTAGAAACCCAATGCTCTTAAAATGTCTATAGAATGCAAAGCAATGAAATTAAAGTATTGAGAGAACTATAAAGACAAAAGATTTACCTGCTTGTTTTTCAGGAAGCTCAAAAGTGGGGTTGTCTTTTTAGCTACATAAATGTAAACAGATTATTAATAATACTTATCAATCCCTAGAAAGGATTCCATTTCTGACATTCCCTGCCAACCACCCAAGGTGGGAAAATGTGTACACCCCTTATGTGGAAAGATCACAATTGTAATATCAGAAAGAAGTTTTACAGCATTCGATTTCAACAATATGGGATTAAAATACCTTTTAAAAAGTGAAGAAATTCAAATTAAAACAACAAAATAATTTCTTAAAAGAGTTATTCCCAATTGATGAGAATTAAGTACTTAGGACATTCTCTTGTTTTACTGAGTGTAAACTTGTTCAACTGGAAGAAGTTGGGGGGAAGGGGCTAAAAATATCTAATCGTTTTGACCCCATAATTTCACTTCTGGGAATTTATTCTAAGAAAGTTACCAGAAATGTGCTTATACTATGCACCTATTAATAAAAGTCAAGTTTTGGAAGAATATTTTTCATTTTCAACATTCTGAATAAGCTATTAGCCTTACAGCCATTTTTTAAAACACGTATTCCTGGCCGGGCACAGTGGCTCATGCCTGTAATCCCAGCACTCTTGGAGGCCAAGGTAGGCAGATCACTTGAGGTCAGGAGTTCGAGATCAGCCTGGCCAACATGGTGAAAACCCCGGCTCTACTAAAAACACAAAATTGGCCGGGCGTAGTGGCGGGTGCCTGTACTTCCAGCTACTTGGGAGAATCCAGATACTGCAGCAGAATTGCCTGAACCCGGGAGGCGGAAGTTGCAGTGAGCCGAGATTGCGCCACTGCACTCCAGCCTGGGCGACAGAGCAAGACTCATCACACACACACACACACACACACACACACACACATATACACACACACAGAGAGAGAGAGAGACAGAGAGAGAGAGGGAAAGAGAAAAAGAGAGAGAAAGCAAACAACAACAACAACAACAACACACAAAAAAACCCCACATATTCCTTAGGATAAATTCCTGAGTGGAAATCCTGGGTCAAAGATTATGCTCATGTTTACAGCTACTGATACAGTAGTGACAGCCTATTACTGAGAACCAACATCCAAGCTAGAATTCCTCAAGTAGTTTTCAATTTTGCAGTAACTAATTTCATTTTTTGGTATTTTCAAGTCAAAATTTTTTCAGGAATATGAACTTATTCCTAGGAAATACCAATTGACCTTCAAAGGCTTACCACTGTCTAAATGTTCCTTATCAGCCATCAAACTTTTTGTATTGATATTACATTTGTGTGACACTAAATAGGTCGAAGAATTTTTCCCACCTTATTAATGGATTCTCATAATGCTGTGAGGCAGGTATTACCATCTGCATTTTACAGTAACAGTCTCAGAGAAGCTAGTAACTTCCCCGAAGTCACACAGCTAGCAACTGAGGGAGGTAGGAGACAGACTTAGGTACTGTGATGAAAAGGCTGTTGCCCTAATTCCTTTTGCCCACTTACCTATTAATTCTCTATTTTTTGCTTCTATTTCCTCTAGCAGTGTCTCCGGAGTAGATGTCATTTTCTCGTTATCTGTGGCATAACTTTCCAAAAACTTTCTATATTCTGGATCTAAATAATCATTTAAGGAAACAGAAAACATAATAGACTTTAAGCAAAAAAGAAGACATTATCTAGGATACTGATTTATCAAATAATTTTTTACTTCATGGAAGATTAAAAAAAAACCAAACCATACCCACAAGGTAGACTATTTAGAGCTTAATTGGTCATTTGCTCTCAGAACTCCTATAACTGATACTCACTATAGGAATCTGGTATAACACGGAGGTCAGGAAAAATGAGACACCATGCATTATAACAGAACTACTAGGGGTATTACATAGTCAGGAGATCAAGACCATCCTGGCTAACACGGTGAAACCCCGTCTCTATTAAGAAATACAAAAAACTGGCCGGGCGCGGTGGCTCAAGCCTGTAATCCCAGCACTTTGGGAGGCCGAGACGGGCGGATCACGAGGTCAGGAGATCGAGACCATCCTGGCTAACACGGTGAAACCCCGTCTCTATTAAGAAATACAAAAAACTAGCCGGGCGAGGTGGCGGGCACCTGTAGTCCCAGCTACTTGGGAGGCTGAGGCCGGAGAATGGCGTGAACCTGGGAGGCGGAGCTTGCAGTGAGCTGAGATCCGGCCACTGCACTCCAGCCTGGGCGACAGAGCGAGATTCCGTCTCAAAAAAAAAAAAAAAAAAGTCACTGTCCTACTAAACTAAGTTAGGTGTTCCAAAAAGATAAATTAGAGAGAAGTCCTAGGTATGGCACTTGAGGTGACTGTAATTCCTGGAGTTCTCTCCTAGACCTCTGACCTCTGACATCAGAAAGGGTGACACATCTAAGGCACTATATTGCTTGTTTCTATATGTCACTTGATCAAGTCTTCCAGATCTAAATCTGTAATAAAACCAGTATCACAGCTATGTGTTATTGAGTCTTTACTGTGTTTTTTTTTTTTATAAAATACCTGTAATAGTAACAAATGATGGAAATTAAACTAGATGATTCTAAAACATCAATCTGATGTAAAATATGGGCCTAAGTCCTTATCCAACATAAAGAGTTGTGTAACAGCTATCTAACATAACATTACAAAGGTCTCAAAACCTGGAGCCAGTATACCTTAAATGGCAATTATTTTGGTTTTTCAGTTATTGTATTTCTTTTTTCTTTTTTTTTTGAGACGGAGTTTTGCTCTTGTTGCCCAGACTGGAGTGCAATGGCGTGGTCTCGGCTCACTGCAACCTCCGCCTCCTGGGTTCAAGCAATTCTTCTTCCTCAGCAGCCTCCCAAGTTGCTGGGATTACAGGTGCCTGCCACCATGCCTAGATAATTTTTGTGTTTTTAGTAGAGATGGGGTGTGTCACCATGTTGGCCAGGCTGGTCTCAAACTCCTGACCTCAGCTAATCTGCCCGCTTTGGCCTCCCAAAGTGCTGGGATTACAGGTGTGAGCAACCGCACCTGGTCTCAGTTCTTCTATTCCTGTTCAACCTATGTGTGTAGCTAACTGTATATTCAAAGACCAGAAAATAGGAGGGACAACTTCAGCTACTTTATATAAAGTTACCTGGGTATGGAAATTTTCCTACGACACTTCAAACCTTCTTCTTTATAAATGGAAACCAAAAGTCAAATAAATAATCATAAAAATGGTGAGGCCTCAAGAAGCACCTGTTAAACTTTGAAACCTGATTTTTTGTCCACTATTTTCTTTTTCTTTTTTTTTTTTTTTTTCGCTCTTGTTGCCCGGGCTGGAGTGCAAGGGCACGATCTCGGCTCACTGCAACCTCTGCCTCCCGGGTTCAAGCAATTTTCCTGCCTCAGCCTCCCGAATAGCTGGGATTACAGGCATGTGCCACCATACCTGGCTAATTTTATATTTTTAGTAGAGACAGGGTTTCTCCATGTTGGTCAGGCTGATCTTGAACTCCTGACCTCAGGTGATCCGTCTGCCTTGGCCTCCCAAAGTACTGGGATTACAGGCGTGAGCCACCACGTCCGGCCTTTTCACTATTTTCTAATCAATAAACCTACGGTGATTTGTTACTCAATAGTCAACATTATATTGTTCAATGGTTGAAGAATGAAATGCCCTAGCCAAAGAGAGCAGAAATTCTGTGCAAGAAACCCTCTCTATTCTAACAATTAAGCAAAGCTTCCATTGGCAAATAACATTTCTCACTTACTTTATTTTGTATATTTTCTAATTTAAAATTTTGGGGTCGAATTAACTCTTGCAAAGATATTATTTTTAAAAACCCCACAGCAATAGCATTATATAATTAGAGCTATACTATACCATCATCGATAGTCCCGACTTTGGTATCTCTTTTCTTAGTCTTCTTTTTTGCAGCTTTTTGAAAAGGTGCAAATTCTACTATAGCGGGATATTCCTGACCTGTTTAGGAAAAAAATACCACACTTGCTATAACAAAGAAAATGTCAAAAGTGGATATAATGGAATCAATCCATTGCTTTCTAGGACTTTTTTGATGGCAGTCTTCTGAAGAGGGTCTCCCAAAGGCATAAAGCACACTGGCACAACCATAATCAACACAGTAAAAAAGGAGCCACAAATTCACACTGATAACATAATGAAACAATACGGCATGGAAGTAAAATATTCATTTAAATTCAACTTATAAAATGTGATATTTTAATGTGAAAAAGACCCTACAAACTAATTTTCATTTAAAAATGTTAGAAATCTCCAAAATAGGCAAATCTATAGAGATGGAACGTAGATTAGTAGCTGCCTGGAGTTTGGGGTAGAAGTGGTGAGAAGAATGAGGAGTGACAACTAATGGGTAGGGTTTCTCTGAGGGGTGATGAACATGTTCTAAATTTAGATTGTGGTAATAGGCTCACAAGTCTATGGATATACTAAAATTCACTGAACTGTATACTTTAAAGGGTGAATATTTCAGGCATGTGAATTATATCTCAATAAAGCTGTTATTTTAAAAAAGTGTAACTATGTGAGGTGATGTGTTATGTGAGGTGATGAATGTGTTAACTTGATTGTGGTAATCATTTCACAATGTATACATATATAAAATAATCACGTTGGGCCAGGCACGGTGGCTCACGCCTATAATCCCAGCATTTTGGGAGGCCGAGGTGACAGGACGATCACTTGAGGTCAGGAGTTTGAGACCAGCCTGGCCAACATGGTGAAACACTGTCTCTACTAAAAACACAAAATTTAGCTGGGCGTGGTGGCATGCATCTGTAATCCCAGCTACTCTGGAGGCTGAGGCATGACAACTGCTTGAACTCGGGACGCAAAGATTGCAGTGAGCCAAGATCACGCCACTGCACTCCAGCCTGGGCGACAGAGTGAGATTCCGTCTCAAAAAAATAAGTAAATAAAAATACAAAAATTAGCCAGGCGTGGTAGTGCATGCCTGTAATCCCAGCTACTTGGGAGGCTGAAGCAGGAGAATCGTTTGAACCTGGGAGGCGGAGGTTGCAGTAAGCTGAGATTGTGCCACTGTACTCCAGCCTGGTAGAAAAAAAAACAAAAAAAAACCCCCCCCAAAAAAAATTATCACACAGTAAAATTTAAATATATATTATTTGTCAATTATAGCTCAATAAAGCTGGGGAAAAAAATCTATTAACACTTAAAAAAAATACACCAGGTCACCAAAAGCACAGGCAACAAAAGTAAAAATCCAGAGGGCAAATCTCATATTAAGTGTTCTTACCACAATAAAACAAAAAGATAAAGTATATCTCTTATTTAAAAAAAGTAAAAAATAGATAAATTGGACTATGTCAAAATTAGAAACTTCTGTGCATCAAAAGACACAATCAACAGATTGTTTCCATGTCTTCCATGGGTTGCCTTTTCACTACTCATGGAATGGGAGAAATATTTGTAAACCATATTATCTGATAAGGGGTAATATCTAGAATATATAAAGAACTCCTATAACTCAACAACAAAAAACCAAATAACCCAATTTAAAAAATGGTCAAGACACTTGAATGACATTTCTTCAAAGACAGTATACAGATGGCTAACAAGCATATGGAAATACGTTCAACATTACTAGTCATTAGGGAAATGCAAATCAAAACCACAATGAGGTATCATCTCACGCCTATTAGGACTACTATCAAAAAAGCACGAAATAACAAGTGTTGGCAAAGATGTGCAGAAACTGGAACACTCATGTATTGGTGGGAATGTATAATGATGCAGCTGCCATGGAAAACAGTATGGCAGTTCCATAAAACATTAAAAATAGAATTACCGGGCCAGCCTGACCAACATGGTAAAACCTCATCTCTACTAAAAGTACAAAAATGATTTGGGTGTGGTGGTGGACACCTGTAATTCCAGCTACTCAGGAGGCTGAGGCAGGACAATCGCTTGAACCCAGGAGGTGGAGGTTGCAATGAGGGAAGATCGCACCATTGTACTTACTCCAGCCTGGGCAACAAGGGTGAAACTCCATCTCAAAAAAACAAAAAACAAGACAAAAAACAAAAAAGAATTACCGGCGGGGCGCAGAGGCTCACACCTGTAATCCCAGCACTTTGGGAGGCCAAGGTGGGCGGATCACCTGAGGTCAGGAGTTTGAGACCAGCCTGGCCAACATGGTGAAACTCCCATTCCTCCAAGCCCACACCACATATCTACATTCATAAAACACACATTTTCATATAAATGTAGATCATAAAAACTTAAGATAATTTCACAGCTTTATACACCACATATACAAGTACATCATGTAAAAACATTAAAAAAAATAAAAAAAAACATACTCATTCCCTTCTGGCTTTTTTTTTTTTTTTAACGGAGTCTCGCTCTGTAGCCCAGGCTGGAGTGCAGTGGCGATCTCGGCTCCCTGCAAGCTCTGCCCCCCGGTTCACGCCATTCTCCTGCCTCAGCCTCCCGAGTACTGGGACTACAGGCACTCGCCACCACGCCCGGCTAATTTTTTTTTTTTTTTTTGTATTTTTAGTAGAGACGGTTTCCACTGTTAGCCAGGATGGTCTCGATCTCCTGACCTCGTGATCCGCCCGTCTCGGCCTCCCAAAGTGCTGGGATTACAGGCGTGAGCCCCGCGCCCAGTCTCCTTCTGCATTTTAAAAATTGTAAAAATACACATAACATAAAAAATTACCATCTTAACCATTTTAAGTGTACAGTTCAGTAGCATTAAGGTATATTCACACTGTTGTGCAACAATCTTGGGAATTTTCATCTTGCAAAACTGAAACTCTTACCCCATTAAACAACTTATTTCCTTTCCTGCAGCCCCTGGCAACCACCATTATACTTTGTGTCTCTATGAGTTTGACTACTCTAGGTACCACATATAGGTGGAAACAACAGTGTCTGCCTGGCTTATTTCATTTAGCATAATATTCTCAAGGTGTATCCATGGTTGTAGCTTGTGTCAGAATTTCTTTTCTTTCTTCTTTTTTTTTTTTTTGAAATGGAGTCCTTGCTCCTGTGCCAGGCTGGAGTGCCAGTGGCGCAATCTCGCTCACTGCAACCTCCCCTCCTGGGTTCAAGCAATTCTCTAGCCCTTAGCCTCCCAAGTAGCTGGATTACTGGTGCCACCACCATGCCCTAATTTTTTTGTTAATTTTGGTAAACGGTTTCACTCAGGCTGTTTCGAACTCCTGACCTCAAGGTGATCTACCTGTCCTCAGCCTCCAAATGCTAGGAATTACAGGCATGAGCCACTGCCCCCAGCCTCATTTTAAGGACTAATATTCCATTTATATGTATATACCACATTTTGTGTATCCATTCGTCTGTCAAGGGGTATTGAGTTGCTTCCACTCTTGGCTATTGTGAACAATATTGTTATGAACACAGATTTGCAAATAATTCGAGTCCCTGCTCTCTCTTTTTTTGGATATATACCGAGAAGTGGAATTTCTGGGGTCATTTGATAATTCTATTTATTTTATTATTTATTTACTTGTTTATTTTGAGACGGAGTCTATCTGTGTCACACAAGCTGGAATACAGTGGCACGATCTTGGCTCACTGCAACCTCCGCCTCCCAGGTTCAAGCAATTCTCCTGCCTCAGCCTTCTGAGTATCCTGGGATTACAGGCACGGCCACCACACCCTGCTAATTTTTTATATTTGTGGTAGAAATGGAGTTTCACAATG